CTAGGTCATGAAAGATGGGTAGAGCCGGAATAACCTCCTCCTCCACCACGGGCTGCCTAAAAATGGCGTCCTCTGGACCTTCCGCTGGGGAAGGGAGGGCAGAGGGGGATTGTACGGATAGACCAGAAGTGTTTTTGGCCTTAAAGAGGATCGATTTAAACGTGTGTGGCTTGCACAGACCCACAAAGGTGGGTTGATCGGGAGTGAGACCCTCATCCTCGGACATTTCCGCTTCCATTGGGTCTATCTCCGATAGGGGCTCCCCGTGGAGTTTGGACCCCCATTCAAACTCTTCCTCCTCCCTGGACTGGTCCAAAACCTCTATGTCCTCCTCCAGTTCCCCTTCTGGAGGAGGGCTGTCCCTCTGTGAAGGTACCTGACCGTGAGCAGGGTCTGGTCTGGGCGAGGACCTGGCTGATAGCGACTCGTGTACGGGAGCCATCTGAAGGAGGCCTGGCCTGGACATCTGCTGCAGACCTTCAGCAATCCCCTGGTGGATAGCCCGTTCCATCCAAGCCCTCATTTGTTCAGGGATCTCGACTGTGGCGGGCTCCTCCTGGCGGAGACCGGCGGCCGTGGGAGTGAATGTGGCTTTGGGCATCCGCCTGGTCGATGGTCCAGGGACCTGAGGCTCCTGGAGTGAGCTATGCCTGGAGAGGGAAGAACAATCTGGGGGGGGGTGCGTAGAGGTAGAAGGAATGGGTGATGGGAGGGCTGGAGGTACTGGTTGAGACTCCCTGGATCGCCTGTCAAATTCTTTCTCCAACGCCTTATGGGGTCTTAAGGCATCCCTTTGAGAGGCCTTGGAAGCCTTAGAGGTTTCCTTAGCCTGTCTGCGCACATGGTGGGAGTTAGATTTGGCCTTCAAAGAAAGGCATTTAGCGGAATTGTCATCTGCCATTTTACAAAAGGATTGAATATAAGTATTATAGGCGGTTGGCACACCAAGGGTTCGACCTATAACAAAGGCCGGGTGTCCTTTAAGCTGGCCCGCGCCCCCTTTTAGAATTTGGTAAGTGAATAATCTGTAAAAATATGATGATGATGATGATGATTATTATTATATTGTGAATTATACGTATCTGATGTTATATTTATGCAGATAGGTATATATATATTTGTGAATAATTGCTCACTATTGGGAATAGTGTTAAGATACAGATAAATAAATATAAAAAATATTTGTTTATTTATTCTTTATTATTATTAATTCTATTCTTAAAATATGGGACCAGGTAACTAGGTCCAGGGCTCCCAGAGCAGGAAAGGCCAGGGAATAGATGTTGTTGTATCGAATTGGTCAAATGAATGCCTGAGGCTGAGAAAAAAAGGCCTCTAGCAGCTTGCCCCTCCAGACAGCAACCGGGAGGGAGTGGCTGCAATCCCTCGCCCTGAGCACTGCTGCGGAAAAGCCAACAACTCTGATTCTAATTATTGTATATTTAGCACAATAACAGTAGAAAGAGGAAGCTCTAACAGGCTGGGAGGCCTGTGCCAGTGAGCTAATCACTTCACAGTTGTAAGAGAGGCCAGAAGATGGCACCCGAGCACGAGGCGGCGCCCAAAATGGCGGCCGCCTACGAATCTCCTTGTCAGGCCACTCAGGACGGAACTAGGTCCCTCTGGCGAGATTAAAGCGCCTAGAGGGCAGCAAGGTAGAATCGCCCCTTCCTGGGGCGGCGCAGAGAAGTGGCAGGAAGAGAGGAACAAATTGAGGGGGGGGATTAGCGCAGAAGCGCTGCTAAAACCGCCTGCTCTTTTTCCCCCTGGGGGTGAAAAACCGCGCTCCCCTTGCTCCCAAAGGCACCCCAGATGCGCAGAAGCTAAGGAAAGTCACTGATAGCAAGAAACTAAGGAAAACCTGAATACAAATAGGACGAGCTTGAATAGGCCAAGGAGTAAAGGTACACACAGCCTAACTCTCCAAAGGCTGAGCATAAACTGGGGAACGCTGCAAGGGACCCACGTGATGGAGGGCGGAGCGTTCCTCAGTAATTAAGCTCAGCCTACAGAGACACAGACTGGAGCACCTCCCACTCTCTGGATGATCCAAGCAGCTCTAAGGAGAATTCATAGTTCAACATTCCAGAGCAGGGGTCTCCAACCCTGCTCTGATCTCAGGGACCACCAAACTCATACTTTTAAATCCTGAGGACCACTAATACGAATTGTTTTAAAAGCTAATATATTTAATATTTGTTATGCTAAATATAAATTTTATACACACACACACACACACACACACACACACATATGGTATTCAGCTTTGTTCAGGTATTTTCCCATGTCATTATAGTTGTGCTTTTAAAGTTGTAGCAACGTTTCGGCAGAATC